CTGTTATGACACTTTTGTTCCTCAGAAAAACCATTTCTGAGATATAGCGATTCAAAAAGTTGTGTTCTCCACAATATGCGTTATTTCCAGTCTACTTGTGAGAGAGTATACTTGGCGCGTTTTTTTAACTTGGGGTCACTGGCGGTCATACTCCACGACTTATTGTATATTGTATTGTATATTGTCCATTAGAAGTGATGAAAGCAGTGTTCATTAAAAGTAATGAGGGAAAACTATTATTGCACTAGTTTACTATAAAACCTATCTGTGGCACTTGGATCATCACTTCCCATGTAAAATTCTCCGCTGAATCCGAGTATGTAGTCAAGCTATAAGAAACTAAAAGAGTTTTTGATAACCAAATTGTGGTTTTCGAGATGTAAAAAAGTTGCATTTTGTTTTGGATATACATACATACATACATTCTTTTTTAGGAAGAAAGGATAAGTAGTTTAGGATCGACTCATTAACTTATCCAAATTTTTGCATAGTTGAAAAAAAAATTAAAAAAATATTACCTAGTTTCGGTAAAAATATCAAGATGAAGGAACTTGATATTTTCCGGATAACACCCTATTCTTCTATGAAGATACATATGTACATATGTACAAAAAGTTTGCATAAAAATTTATGATTTCCGTATTATAGAGAACACAACTTTTACTAAAATTTTGAGTCGCAGTTTTTATAGATAATTGCATGATACCTCACAGTTTGTTTGAAAAAAAATTAATTTATGTGACCTTTGAATAGTTTTTTCAGATATGAGATTGATGGGGCTTTTCACGTTTCATTTATAAAAGTGTTCCCAACAGTCGTACTAATTTTCAGCTCTAAGCGAACTATTGTCAGCTGACCCCTATTTATTAAGCTAACTTGACTAGGCTATAATATATAATTATGTATGTGTGTATGTATATAAATAAGTCACTTTTTTAAAAAAGTTGTATACTGGGTATTAAACTTAGCTTTAAAACACTTATAAAAGGTTGCCATACTAGTACTCTTTCAAGGCTTATTATCGTTAGTTAACTTCAAAACGTATTCGCCAGACATTTCTACATATGGATGTATTAGGCTTGGGGAGCTTTTGAACTAAAGAGCGAGCTAGCTCTTTCAATTGAACTAGTTCATTAGCTCGTTCATTAAAGTGAACTAAGATTTTCTGTGGCAACGCTTTAATAAAAATCGAAATGTAATTTTAACACATATTGCTTCTTGTTTTTCGTTGTAAGGCGTGATTTCGTGATTTTGGAGACAGACGAATGAATGAAGACGATTGGTTTGTGTCGTTACTGCAGAGTACCATGGATATGAAGAATATTTTTTTTATTTTACGGATTAATTCAATCTTATATGTGTACATATGTATGTATGTGTTATAAAACATACATTTTTGTTGTTCTGTAACTCAGCTTCTACTACCGAACTTGTTCAATTAGGTGAACTATAGTTCAATAAGATGAACGAACTAAGACTCAGAAGAGCTAGTTCATTGAGATGAACGAACTAGAAGTGAACTAATCTTTAAAGTGAACTAAAAAATCCAACTCTAGCATGTATGTATGTAGTTCTCTCCGTATACTATTTATTTCGATCGCCCTTTCTGGAGAGCGCCTTGATTCGTACGACAGAATTAAAATTTGGTTTAAAAATTAGATCCCATCCAAAGATGAGTACTTCTTCGGAGATGGAATCCTAACAATAGGCGTATATTTCGATTAGTATCACTATCTAACATAACGTTGCACAATGGGACCGCTTCACATAAAAATTGCTGCTCAAAAGTCTGTAACCGGTTTTTACTCCTAAAAATGCTGTAGACAAATCCAAAAGAGAAATATCATAATTTTTATAAAATTATTCCATTATTTTGTGTACAAAATATTTTTTTTTGTTAAATTGAAAAATATGTATTTTGTGAAAAGGAATAAAAACAGATCATCCGCGTGGACCACTGTCTTCAGTTAGTCACTTACTTCGTGTTCTTAACACCAAACAAATAAAATTGTTGTATATTGATAGTTTTAATGATGGTAACGGGCCATAAAGATTACCTGAAATAGAAACAATGAGAGATTCACTTTGAGTATGCCCAAAATTCTCTTCTTAAAGTATGTCTTTTACTTCTGGATTAAATGATTTTTTTTTTGGGTTGTAAATACATACCATAATTTTGTAATAAGAGAATCGAAAGAAAGAACTAGACGGTGAAATACATCTTTACGTTTAGTTTGCCTTAAAGTTTTGCGGCTAAAACATTCTCGATATGCCTTAAAATTTTTGTTACGCGATTCCTGTGCCTCTTCACTTAATTGCTCAATCGGTAGAAGGAAATTCAATATAATTTTGTCCACTGTTGCTGTCATTGGATGCCAGTTTCGCAGTATCAAGACATAGCGTCTTGGATTTTTTGTTATCTATTTTAAATCCACTGGATATTGTTTGCAAGTTTTTCTAACCAGACTTTATTGGACTCATAAAATATGTTTTGCGTCTACCGTATATGTTCGATTTTAAAGTAACGTAACTCTTGAAATTGCCCAAAAGATTGTTGCAACTTCTTTCTTTTCGAGGCGAGACAGCTGGTTAGGTTTGAAATATATTATTCTACATGGCTGAACTTGAACTTGCAATAATTTAGAAGGGCTTTTAAAACACAAATTTTACACAAATCCCGATTTTTAATAGATAAATGGGTGCCGTCTGGAATAAAAGTTATCGGTATTGAAATAAAGAATAATCACAGACGGTATTTACTATTCTCTTCCATTCAGTTGGAATTTTTCTAAAAAGCACCTCCACGTGGTACATATTTTTCATAAAATAACGAATACACGAGATTAGGTTCTTTGTTATGACTCTGCTGCTATATATTTTTTCATAAATGCCATCTTTCGAAAAATTAGTTTTGAGCATCGCCCTCTATGAAGCGGCCCCATTGTGCCTCGATGCCTTTGCAACACCGCCCATCTATCAGTTGCAAAAGCGTCTACCTTACGGCACTCAAATTTCACAGGAGACCAATTGTACGATTTTTATGCATGAAGCTCGATGCCCGGAGTTTATTTAGGGCTATCAAATCTTATTTTTGCCACTATGGGCGGCATTGCGAAGACATCGACGATATGTGCCTTTATGTATGTATGTTCAAAAAAAGTGTTCTAAAGTCCAATACTTAACTTTAAAATTCATTAGGTTTAGTTGTATCACAGCATGAGCTTTAGTTGTATGATTTCAATTATTATTTTTAATTTTTCTAATTCTTCTTTTTATTACATACATATTTGTCTTATTGCTTTTAATTCCTACCTTCCTACTGTTTAGTTTTCCTTACTAACTATACATTTTTTTCCCCTTCCTATTTTATTTTCTAACCTAAACTGCTATATACTTAAAATTTTTGCATTTGTTTGGCACACAGTTGGCTGGGGATTTTTTCTAAACAAGCGAGTCTTGTTCATTTGCTACTTGCGCGGCAATCTCTACTTTGACACTTCAATTGCACTTCTGACGTGTTTTTAACGCGCCAACAACAAAACAATCAAATTGTTTAGTTAACACATAACTAACTTAAAGAAAATATAGGTTTTTATGTTTCTACCATCATACGTATTTTAGTTGCTTAATATTAATTCACTCACGCATTTGCAGTATAATCTAGTTCGTTCATTCAATCGAATCAGTCAATCGCCAATTCAATTCTATGTATGAACTCTTGGTCATTTAAATCACAACGACTCTCGACCGCATTTTATCAACCAACCGGACTCCTCAAATCAAATCAACCACAAAAGCACCGTTGTAATCAGAAAATAACCCTAACTAATCCATCAAACAGCCATTATCAGCATACCTTATACGGTAGTTGTGGTGGTTGTGGTGATGTTTGCTGACTTAGTGTCTTCATTACTCTAATATGTGCTTTATTTTTTCATTCTATAAATCAAAATTACAAGCTCCATTAAATCATTTAACCTTTTT